TAGCCTCAATAAGCTTTAAATTGAGTAAAAAGATCAGTTGTTCAGGGTTGTTCGGTGTAAGTTCATGTTTGTTCAAGGATTGGCATATAGCCGGTCAGATGTGCAAGGCGCGCATTACTTGAGGTCCATTGAATGAAATTCATGATTTTTCAGTAAACTTAGCATATATTATCATGTCATATTAAGTTATGATCAGTCATGTTTAAAGTGTTGGGAAGAGTAGTCGGACGGCCAGCGAAAGGCCGACTGTGATGCCTACCGCACACAGCGTGCACGCAGGCCGGCAGTCTCAGCAGGTACACTGGCAGCGTTAGCACGCCAGTGGTGCGTGCGCGTAGACAGTACCCCGCGGTCAGTCACGTAAGGTCACAGCCATGCGTGTAAGTGTACCCAGTGCTACACGCCAACACGCACGGCAGTGCATGATCAGCCATTCGCGTACGCTGTAACGCGTTGCACGCCCAGCAGCGTGTCACGCAACACCAGTACGCATCCCAGTGGCATCTCACGCACAATGGCGAGTGTCCCAGCGCCCGCCAATGTTAGCCCATGAGCCAGTACCGTCGCCAGCGTGTCGGTAGTGGCCAGCCGAGTTCAGTACGCGTCCAGTGACCGTTGGCAGTGCACAGCAGCACGCCAACAGCCACCTCCAGTACGCGGGCGGTTCCAGCCACACCCGCCAGTGCACGGACCTAGCCCAGCCAGTGCCAGCCAACACCAGCAGCACCCGGCAGTGCCCAGGTCACACCTGGTGCGCACGCACAATTGTGCTGGTGACCAGCCACTGGCCGACCGACCGGCCGCAGCGAGCCGGCGGTCCGGCCAGACCGGAAACCGACCGGTTTATACCGGTTGACCCATTATTTTATTATTTTAAGTCCCGGTTCATGTTCAGGTTCCATTTTCAGTTAAATTCCGGGTCCAGATTAGTTCAGTAAATTCATGTCAGTCCAGTTCCGAGTTTAGTCAGTTCCGGTTATACCGGTTGAGTTCAGATATTATATTTAAGTCCAGTAGAGCATCTTAACATGTTAATCAGTTATTTTATCAGTCTGAGCATAGCAATTAGTAATTGTTTAAATTATTTTCAGTTTGATCAGGATGCAGATATCAGCACTTACATTTTCAGATCAGCAGTTCAGGTGGGGACTCAGACTAAGTACTACATTGTTTATAATTGCTCTACCATGCTCGAGGTATGTATTTTTCAGTAACCACTCGGGATGGTCGCCGGTCCATTCTGAGTTCTAGTGGCCTTATCTAACCACTAGAGTGTGCACATGGTCCGGTATTAGTTTGTGCCGGGAGATAGCGGCATTAGTTTGTGCCGAGCGACATTAGTTCTGTGCCGAGCAGATTCAGTTACGTGACTTCGGTCGCGAGTTCAGACC